TAAGTAATAATGAATATACTTAAAGGAGAACTCCGGCGAATAATGAACCTTTGGTCTAATAAAACATCGGTACCTAGTCAATCGTTCTCTGAGTTTTGTTTTCTTGATAATCGAATGTAAAGAGTTTTATCTCTAAAAACTGTTTTGCGTATAATGCCAGTAATGGGGGCATTGACTAAGTAAAGAGAAATCGCTAGTTTATACCACTAACAAGGCTCAAAATAGCCTCACATTAACGCAGTAATATAATGAGGCTCCAACCATGCAAAACGAAGCATTAAGAACTTTGTAAGTGTACAGACCGTTTAATAAGAAGATACTTTATAAAGACAGTTCACTTCGCGTATACAGACAGGAGCCATCTTAAAAAATAGTCTCGATAAGTCGATCCCCGAACGCCGTTCATACAGTTCAGAAGTTCGCTGAACTTCATACAGTTCAGATCACTCAGCACGACGTTCGTGGTTTGACTTATCGAGACTATTTTTTAAGATGGCTCCTGTCTGTATACGCGAAGTGAACTGTCTTCATAAAGTATCTTCTTATTAAACGGTCTGTACACAAAGTTCTCAATGCTTCGTTTTGGATGTATGGAGCCTCATTATGTTACTGTGTTAGTGTGGGGCTATTTTGAGCCTTTTTGGTGGTATAAACCAGCGATTTCTTTTTACTTAGTCAATGCCCCCATTACTAGCATTATACGCTAAACAGTTTTTAGAGATAAAACTCTTTACATTCGATTATCATGAAAACAAATCTCAGAGAACGGTTGACTATGTACCGATGTTTTATTTGACCAAAGGTTCATTGTTCGCCGGAGTTCTCCTTTAATTATTGATTTTATAAAAGAAATAAATAAGCATTCAAAAGGATATATATATACTATATATATATATATATATATATATGCTGAAGAGGCAAGGGATTTTGACCACCCCTTCAGTAGGCCTACGAGACATTAGGCTTGTTCGACTTCATGCAGCTCTGCGCAGACCGATCGGCGGCTGACTTGAAACAGTATGCCGGTTAGAAATTTTGTCCGACTTGATGCAGCGCTGACTCCACGTGACTGTGACGTATGCCATCAAAGTACCGCGAGAGCGATACGAGAGTAGCCGAAGGACTCAGCCAGCGCAGCTTCTCAAGAGCGGCTGCACGAGCTCTGATGATGTCACAGCTGTTTCACGATTCGCCGGATTTACCGCAAGTCAAAGTGACAGACGCTGCTAATAAAGCTGCTAATAAAGCTGCTGTCGCCATGTGTGTCAATAATGTTAATCAAACATCAGAAAGAAAGTAATTTACTGCATTTGACTGAATTACTTTTGCAAAATTAACAAGAATGAATGTTGAATTTATAGTGAAAACCATGTATTGTATTGATTACTTTATATAATATTATTCAGTGCTTTAAGTTTTTCATAGGTCGATTTATTGTGCCTTTGTTCTATTTTAATTTGTGACTCTTGTCATCAGTAAGCTTGAGATTATTTTCTTAAGCTACTATTATTTTTTGGTGATATTGAAATTGGTCACAATAATTATGAAATTTTAGTCAATACATTTTGATATGATAAAAAAATCATGTTAAAAGTAACATAACTTAACTGTGAAGTATATCATAGATGGATAAAATGACTCGTAGGCTATAATAATATAACATTTAGCTCATGTAGTTGGTGACCTAAAGTGGTGGGGGGGCCCTGCAGTAACTCATAGCCCCGGGGCCCAGTGAGCTCTTAATACGGCCCTGCTCGTGGGTACGGTTTATTAATCCGTGGGCACGAATTGTTAAACCGAGGGAACAGTTTAAGAATCCGTGAGTACAGTTTATAAACTGAGGGGACGGATTGCAAAACCGTCGCCTCGGATTGTTTTTTTTTCCCCCGCAGGTGACTTCCCGGGCTCCGTACTATACCTGATAACGTCCCCTTTAAGATCATGCAGTTCTGGGACGCCTGGCTCAAAGACAAAAGCTGTTGGCGCTGTGGACGTAATCACAAACCTGAGGCTTGCACCCTCAAGAAGCCCTGTAAAATATAGCAAAAGCAGCATCTCACTGTGCTACATGATGTAACCGTACAGGAGCCCAACCAGGTCCTCATGGTCAGTACTCCTCCAATTATTAAGGTTGATCCATAACTGTAAAAAAAAGGTTGATCTAATTTTTGCTATATGGGGAGGCTGCAGACCTGGAGCCGGCAGTTTTACGCCCCTTAAAGTTTTACGCCCCTGACAGTTTTAAGCCCCTGTTGTTCCTGATGCGTCCAGTAGGGGGAGAAGGATAAATGGCAAAATAACGTAAAACGACGCTGGAAACAAACATATTAATAACCGTCTAGACTTTAACTAATTTTTATGTATTTGTTTATTTAAATAAACGTTATAGACAGTGGATTTATCTGCACTATAAGGATTAAAACATCCAGATGTTCAGTTGGGATTCACTCTTCACTCAGCCTACAGAAGATTTGTTTTTGAAAATATTAGGCTATACACATAGTTGGATCAGATGGACAAAGTAATGATATTTGACCTACTGAAGAATTAATTGTTTTAAACTGTTTTATATACAGGAAACTGACTGATATATGTTGTTGTGAACTATATAAAGTTACATTTATGTACCATATTTAGCCTTGAGATATGAGTTAATGAGTTAAAAAGAACTAAAGACAGAGTATGATAAAACACACATTAAGTGCACATACATTTTAGTCCATATCAGTAAGCTATTTTAAGAAAACTCTATGATATAGCTACATTAGAAAATTAGATCATCTCATTTATATATATATATATATATATATATATATATAATTAAACCATAATGTACATTTAAGCCATATGGGACCAAAGTTTTTAATGTGGGCTTTATAATGCATTATGTTTGTATGTATTACAAGACAAAATATTAGAGTGAGTGTGCAGTTCGAATCTTTACTTAGAGAGATTTTCATTCAAATACTTACATACATACATGCCTATTATAAATGTGTTTGTGTACACATCATAAACTGTAATTAACACATTTCCAATATCCACTGTGATGTTGCTCCAGAAATCACGTGGAGTAGGCTATGTTTAAATACAAGGAGTAAACTGGGTCTTACCAGTAGATGCCATGTCACGCAAGGTAAAGACAGACAAGATAAAAATAAAAATTAAATGAATTTTAAAAGTGAGTGAGACAGAGCAGGTAAAGAGAAGACTATGGGCAGCTTTTAAACCTATATGTGGTTAAGTTTGCTAAGTTTGAGCCAGACAGAACATCAACCTGGCCATCAAGTAGCCAACTTTTATTGTCTCTCGAAATAATAGAGACTTTATTACAGTTATTTACAATCTCTTTGTTACTGTTTTCAGAACCTTGACGTCATTTTTCAAAACTCTAGACACAAAACTCACAACCAATGATCAAAATGCACATTTTAAAAACTCTAACCCCTTTCTCAATTGCTTGGATACAATATACATAAAACTTAGATCATTTGTTCATTCAACAAAAATCACCTGTTCAAAATGACACAACTTAACATCAAAGTACTAGTATTTCAAAAGGCAATTCACACATTACATTTCAAATGAGTGTCTATTAATTTCCTTACAGTGATCTAACTATCAATTGATACAACTGCTCAAAATGATAAGTAACTGGTGTGTTACTCTTAATGCATGACACACAATCTTTACAGTAAATCATGAAAGCTTCAAGATAATGAGATTCAATAAACCTATGTTGTGATTGTAGTGTTTTGCATCAATATATCACACACTTTGTTCAATGATTCCTCTATGTGTGTATTCTCTCTACTACTGCAGTATTGCTTTACAGAGATGTGTTTACTGTACATGTGCCATAATGAAACCTGGATCACCTATTTTGTTCTACAACATTTACGTAATGATTGTAGGAAAAATGACAGTGAAACTATCGGTTGCTTGTGTGTGGGTGAGCTAGTTTTGTTTAGGCCTATTTCACAGTAAATTTGTTTTTTTAACCAATGATTGTGCAAGTGCAAGATTTCTTTAAAAATGTGAATGCACAATGCAATGTTTTAAACATTAGACAGCCTGTGTTACAAGTGATAACCGTTTTGAGTTTTGTGTCTAGAGTTTTGAAAAATGACATCAAGGTTCTGAAAATAGTAGCAAAGTGATTGGAAAAAACTGTAAATTATAGACCCATCTTTTCAATTGACATCGAATCTTAGCTTATCGTTTAGAAATAATCATCATTACAATTCAATCAACAACAATAACTTTAGCAGATTATTTAAAATACCTCAATTCATGTCACTTAGAAGGCCTGATGCTATAGATCTGTAAGTGTAGTCTCCCCCTACTGGATGCATCAGGAACGACAGGGGCTTAAAACTGTCAGGGGCGCAAAACTGTCAGGGGCGTAAAACTGCCGGTGTGGTGAAGAGATGGGTCTGCAGCCTCCCCCTACTCAATTTTTGTGAATTGTAACTGTAATTCTCACTGCTGTCCACTTGGTGGCGACTGACTGACGAGTGCGGTCTTGCTGACTGACGATAGGCCTGCTCGACAATGTTTACAAGCAGTTTTATTAACGTATTTCTGTGGTTGAAACACCGATTGATTGATTACATGAGATACATGATAGGCATTTCGGTAAGTCGTGAATGTATCTTTCAAGATATTTACTGATGTTCATTAATGTTTATTTTGTTTTGTAGGCCTACCATAGTAAAGAGGAAGTAACGTTAGGCCTACACTCCAGGTGATTTCTCGCCCACGTTAAAGAGCACCAAAAAACGGTAGGCTTAAATAATGTTTGTATTTTGTGATAAAATTGACATAATTTGAAAGCTGACAGGTATGACAGGTCTGACTTTGTTTCATAACAAATCAATATCTAGTCACCTTTCCATTACATAAGGCTACATGTATGAAAAAACTGAATGCATTAAATTGTCAAATGGATTTGATGTTAATACGATAATGGGAATAGCGATCGAATTTGTACACTTTAATGGCAATGTCAACACACCAGTTTATTGTCAAAAGAAATCACTCAGTATACACAGCATTTCACTTATCAATCCTTACATGAGCTAAAAGTTGATGTCATGACTCAGAGTTGTGAGAAACGCCATATTAAATTACAGTATAGCAAAGCACATAAGTATACAGAATCAACATCTAATTTAGTTGAAGCATACAGCAGTCATCATAATATTATGTGTTCTATACTTCATAAGATATGGAACAGCACAGAAATACATTTTCATTACATTAAAAACACAATTTACTTATTTTCAAGCAGCCTTTAATCGGTCAATTCCTCCCTAATTCCTAGTAATGAAAAACTTAAATAAAATATCATGAAAAGTTAGTTCAAATAAGTTTTAATGGCAACATGTCGACAACAAATTATGGCTTTCCAACTCAATTTACTGACAAAAGAAATCACTGAGAATACACAGCATATAACTTATAAACACTCACAAGTAGGCTACTTAGAATTTCATTACATGAATTATTACATTGATGTGGTGACTTAATCTGCCTTTAATAGTTTGAAAACCTGTACTCTTCAATTTCAACAGTCACCCCGTTCCTCACGACTGCACGTTGATATGTTTGAACACCTTGTTCAATGTTGTTGTGATATCGTGTCATTATCCCGTTTCTTGGTGCGGCCATGGACCTCTGGACGCTGTTGTTTGACTGAAACAATGCCTGCATTTAAGAGAAAATATAAAATAAGAAATGTTTTTCTACATGTTGTAACTTACTGACTGAACCTTTTGTTATTGGGTTTAGTTACAGTTAACAATGTCCTTAAGAAATATTGAAAAAAATTAATTCCTTTCAGTTCATTCTTGTAAAAAAATTTATTTGGAATTTGTTTATCGCTCTTACCAGAGGAAAGGGGTTGGGCTGTTCCTCAGGGTCACACTTACATTTATACCTTAAGTTTAAAAATGATTCGCTTGGAGTATGTTAAAACATTTATATTCGCACAGGTAAAAACAAATCTTCCAATGCACATTAAAAAGCCATAACTCATATGAAATAATACATACGGTAATGATCCATTGTAGTTTTTCATCAACCCACATTTCTTACAGGATTTGGTAGCCTAGGGGTGTGATGAGAAGAATATGCCTTTTGTCACATATTTTCATGCAATTCATTAGTATTTTTTTTTTGCTGTTTATCTATAAATATAACTTTATTTAGATTGCAAAAACATTACACTAACAAAAATGTAATTTACATTTACCTTTTTTCCAACCTACATTTATTTATTTACTTATTGATTTATTAAATGAAACGGAATTGTCTAAAAGAAATTGATTAAAATAAATTTTGAAGAAATTTATTTTTTACACAACAGCTAAGAATGAGCACATAAATATACTGTGTTTTATATGAATGTAATTCGCTATTTCCTTACCATTTTAGTTGGTAATGTTCCTCTGCAAAGTTGTGAAGGCAAAGAGACGCAACTTATTTTCTACAGAGATCTATATAATCGAATGTCAGAAACTCCGCCTATAGGAATGTTCAGAATGCTGCCGAGAAAGAAACAGAGATGAAGTTCATGAAAGAGAAACTTAACCTTTTTTTAAACCTCTATCTGTACCATCGGCTAGCTCTGAACACGCGTTCACTTCAAACGTTGGCTTTACGCTTTATACGCGCGTCCTATTCGCTGTTATCGCATAATCAACAGGCTGCGATGTCAAGATTGCAATGCTGGAGTGTGTGTGTGTGTGTGTGCGTGCGTGCGTGTGTGTGTGTGTGTGAGAGAGAGAGAGAGAGAGGGAGAGAGAGAGAGAGGGAGGCGCGTGCGCGATAGAACCATTGGGACAGTGGATTGGAAACATAAAAATCACAACTGTTACTCCGTCATTTTGTTCAGATCATTAAACCTGCAAACCTGTTTCCTTATATTTGTGTACACTCACAATAAAACACAAGTTTTGTCACACTGTAAACTCTTGACAAACTGTCAACCAACCAAAATCATATACACACACACTGTTTTAAAAGCAAATCATATTTATCCAACGCCATTTCAAAACAGTCTGTGGGTCCCATCTTTTGGACATTCATATTGAATTGGTTTTCATTTCTTGTCCTCTAATCTTACACATTCTACATTGATTAAAAAAGAAAATCGAATGTGTTTTTAATGGTAGTGTTATTTTATACAGAAATCAATCATTTATAATTCAGATGAGAATGATAGTAGCCTAAATTGTTAATTAAATTCTTAATTAAAATGAAGGAAAACAAATATATTGATCTGAAATATAGCTAAATAATTTTAAATTAATTCAGGTACAATATACCAAACATATCACAAGGTCTTTTTATTCATTCAATGAATTAACTAATTATATAAAACTATAGTCAGTGCACTACAAATAAACTGGTTTTATGCCTTTATTAATAAAACTTATTTAAAAAATACAATGCTTTCCGTATTTTTGTTTTGCTTTTCCCTCTATTGTACCGAACCGTAAAGTCTGAACCGAGGTACCAAACAGTGACCCTACCTATTGTATACATTTTATATGTCCCACACTCCACCCGGTGTAGCCTAAAAAAACTACAACAACATTATGAAAAGAACCATGCAGTCCAATACCCTTACACAGTGTTTATGATGAAATGTTTTGAAATGTCATCACCTGAGCAGGTATCACTTGTCTTGGTCACTTAGAATAACTTTACATTACATGCCTGTAATGTCGAAAAATTTGATGAATTATCATAAACATTTATGAGCTTAAAATAGGAATGTGATCAAAAATGTGCTGTGTAAAAAATAAAAATTGAGAAATTCCTTTAAATATTTGACTTAATTGAAGTCACATTTATTTTATTTATTTTAATGAATTGAATTAAGCCCATTTGTTTGTATTATTTAGTCATATTAAGAACTTTACATACAAAGTTATTAAAGATGTCTTGTTTTAAATAAATGTCTTTGTCCTGTTCTCAAGCACCTCTTCTAGCCTGTGAAAGATTAACTTTTAAATTAAGATTAACCCCCTCCCACTATCTGTCAGCAGTAACGAAACTGAAAGTGAAAGTATTACAGACTAATATGGTTGCTATAAGAGAGACTCGGCAACTCTCAGCTTCACAGGCTCATCTGAAGTACAGAAAAAGCCCCGAACCTCTCTGCTGCATTTCATTATATATATACAGACCTTATTTCATGTGTAAACATGAGTTCACAGTGGAAATTCACCTTAATCACCATCCCAGACTCGGGCAGAAGTTGATTTACATGGAACTATTTGCTAACAGTGGAAATTTTCATGTAGTAACAGTATGTTTGTATGTTATCTCTAAACTCTTAAAAACCGGATTACCTTTTGTTTTACTTATTTGGAAATGAGACATTACACATTTCGAATGTTGTATAACATGATGATAATCATTAAACCATTTAGATTCTTATGTAAGTTTGGGTGATCTTCGCATGAGAAATGTGGATAAGGATGAGGGAGGTGAGAGACCTTCTCAATAGTTTACGAGGGGGAGTTCAAGTGTTAATTTTCAGAAAGGTCCTTTTGTCCACTTGAGGATTGGTAGTTCCTTAACCAGTTTTTCCAGTCTTACAGATTTTTCAGCATAAACCAAAAACAGTTAGTAAATAAGTGAAATCAAGTATGTGTGTGCAGCTTTACCCATTGTTTCAGATTTATTAATGCCACCCACACTTATAAAGTCATCTGTTCTTTTCACACTACACAGCATCACAAATGTCATTTTAAGTCAAAACACGTTTCTTGAAGTTACAGACAGGTCTATTGCAGAGGCTTCACAATCATATCTCACTTTTATAAAGGTATACATTCCTAATACATGCATTACATTTTAATGTGTATCTTTAGTTTTTAATCTTTAGTTTTTAATCTTGTCAAACTTCAAGCACTTACAGGAAAAGTGTAAAAAATGTTGTCCCTCTTGTTTTTCCTGTTGCATGCGAGATTCAATACATGCTGCTCATGTGATTTTTTTTCTGTCGCAGTTTAAGGAGTCAAGATTAAGATGAGTCAAAAGAGCCAATCCAAATGTATTTAAAAAAAAAAAAAAAAAAAAAAAAAAAAAAACTTGGATAATCCAACGCAGTGTACCACACACAAACAATAGCCAACAAGGAACTGAGGGAAACACAGGAACTTAAAATGATTTGCGTGGTGTGAATTTCTTGCATGGGCTTGAAGCCTGTGTATTGGATTATTATACATTATGATACATGCATGACTCATCAATTTCAAGCGCAAATTATCCGGTTAGACATCATTATCAGCCTATGAGTGAAATTTTACTCAATCTGTTTCTTACATTTATTCATTTAGCTGACGCTTTTATCCAATGCGATTTACAATTGCTGTCTATGTCAGAGGTTGCATGCCTCTGGAGCAACTAGGGGTTAAGTGTCTTGCTCAGGGACACATTGGTGTCTCACAGTGGATTCGAACCCGGGTCTCTCACACCAAAGGGACGTGTCTTATCCACTGCGCCATCATTTATACCAACGCATTCTCACCCCAAGGCGTCACCTTTGACCATGCTTCAATATTTGACGTTTTAGGCGTCCTTTAGCGTCACTTACATGACGCGATCCTACGGCGTCATCTAACTGACGCTAAAGGAAAGCGTTCTGTTAGAGGACGCGGTTAGGTTTAGGTGTGGGGTGGGGGTAGGGTACACGCGATCCTAGGGCGTCATCTAACTGACGCTAAAGGGTGCCTAAAGCGTCAGATATTGAAGCATGTCCAAATGCTCCCAAGGCGTCAGTTAGGTGGACGCCTTGCGGGTGAGAATGGGCTGTTTATACTCAATACATGTCTCTATCAACTCTAAAGGTACAATAACTGAAGAAAAATAGATGTCTGAGAGATATTAAGCCCTGCAGTGTGACATGTGAAAATCACATTACATCATGAGACAGTTTAAAATAGGATCAATATATATTTATTTATTTTAAGTATGGTAAATTACATAGCAGACAGTGATTTAAAAGTGATTTTACATCCAGTTAAATGTATTTAACACAAAAAATGTGTCTGGTTTCCTTGTGTTTTTCACAAAATTAATGATATATGCTATATTCCGCTGACAATATACATAGAGTTTTAATACATTTACTTCCAACTTTTTATTATGGTGAATAAAAGATGATTTCTCACTGGCTATAGCTCTGCCATCCCTTCGAATGACCATAGAAAATGTTTTGAACGCCATCTTGTATATAGGAGTGAGTAACCACACCATTTTTTGGCAGGCTACTATGGGAGTTGTGTAGTTGTTTTGTGCTGGAAACGATGCCCTAAATGAAGAATGCAAAAAAAAAAAAAAAAAATCCTTTTAAGGGTTTTCTTTCAAACATCTGGTCCTTGGGTCCTAAACTGTTTCTCCCTATAGTGAATTATGCATCGGATTAAGCCTTAAAAGTGCATTACTGCACCTAACTTCCTCTTTCGATTTGACTGTATAAAGTTTATATGTCCCACACTCCACCAAGTGTACAAAAAAACGACTTCAAGCTTTATCTTGGTTTGCAATAGCAGTGCAATCCAAAAAACGTACACAGTATTCATAAAGAAGTGAAATGTGTCATTACCTGAGTAGGTTTCGCTTGTCTTTGTCCATAAGAATAACAATCATGCCTATAAGTGTAGAAAATGGGTGATTTATCATAAACAGTAATGAGCTTAAAATGTTAAAATATATTTTAAAATGCAGGTGTGAAAAATGCTAAATTATTAATTGACTGTTACCCACCCACATGTCCAGCATCTAGGGTTTTGATGATGGTTCATTTTTCAGAGATGTCTGAAATTATATGCAGAGAAAGCAGTGATAACTGTTAATTTAAATCTAAAATAATTATATTTAATAAAATTCTTATTAAATAAAATTCTGATATATACACTCAAAAAAAAAATTATGTTGGCTTTAATTATTTATTTTAACAGGTTCCACATAATTGGATTACGTTAAACAAACATAATTTGTTCGTGTAACTTCAACATAATAGAATTATGTAATTGTAAATTACCCAATTTAAGTAGTTCTCAATGTGACATGATTCAAAGCCATTTTAATTATATTTATTCATCGATTGATATTTCATTTGATTCAGTGACATTAATAAAAATTGATAGACTTTAGCTAGCTATTTGTTAGCATATATTAGCATCTTGAATGCTAAACTTTACATGCCCCTTCATCCAAAACAATAGAAAATAATGAAATCAGTCGACAGGCAAACAAAATGCTCCACTCTTCTCCAGACAAAATAATTTCAGTAAGTAATAATCAGTATAAGTTTAAGCAGAGCATATGTATGTAATCAGAGCATATCAGAAAAATGTTTACCTAATAATGATTCCTATAAGTAAAAAAAAAAAAAAAAAACTATATGTTTGTATTATTTAGCCACATAAAGAACTTCACATCTATTTATAACACAGGACTAATAATAATTGTATATTTACTCACAGTTTTTGTCCGGTTTTCAAGCACCTCTTTAAGCCTGTGAAAGATCA